ATTCTTCGTGATTTTACATGTTCTTATTGTAGGCTGTCTTTCGAGTTACTAATTGTTATAATGATCTTCATAGTGAACTTATCAAAACATTTTATTGCATGACTTTAGATCCTCCATATTCTAGTAATAATTTCATAGAGAGTCAATAACTGATGTGTTCAAGTCTTTCGTTTTACTTACGTAATCATGTAAGTTCTGCATGTAAATAATACATCTGACTATGACCATATTTCTGGTCTTAAAGTGATCTGATTGAATATTTCAAAAAGACGCTAACACTGAACTATTAAACAGAAATCAATCGACCCTTCAGTTATCTTTAAAAGCTTATAGTTAAACTCTCCAATAAAATCCAAATAATTCAAACATTTCAAATATAAACATACTGTGATAATGATTATTAAAAAATTGAAAACTGTCCTAAAAAATAAATCTGATCAAAACTGCCCCCAAGGGGTTTATGCTTCGATTTTATGGCTTATATTTTTCATTCCATATTGAGTTACATAGATAAATTGACATTTCAGTTATACAGTTAAAGTTGAGATTAATTTACATTGTTCGAACACAAAAGTCTACTTAATCAGTTCAACAGAGGCGGCGATTTTGCACAAAACTAATGACGGCTATCAGGACTCAGTAGATAACACGATGGCATTTGAAGTGAACGGTACTGGGTTCGAGTCGCAGAGTGAATATCCGTTTTGTGATGCTGGTACATCCAGCTGATGTGTTCTGATTCCCACCACCAGCCACCATCTATCTTTGCTCATAAAGCTTTTGGCTTAAGGCAATATCGAAGCAATCCACATAGGATGCAATTGTGAAGCTGATTTTGTTTCATGAATAAAGTTCCACTGAATATATTTACTTACTTTATTATGCATTTGCTATTCACTTGTTACTTTACTCTAAATATCTCAACATTTTAACAGAATTCAATGATTTATCGAGTTGAACAAGTCAAGAGTGAGGATAATGACAAATAACGATAATCGATCGTTAATATCACAGACTGATCCTAGCGAAATAGCTATTGAAAACTAACAAGTGTTGGACAGTTGGTTCATTATAGCATAAAGCTCAGCAGAGAACACTGGCAACTTCTGAGGACCTTCAGGTCTCACGATGAGCACTTGACCTTGAGTGCGCAGGGTGCTATCATCCACTTGTTTGATTGTTTGACTTCAATCAGCTCTCTGTACTTCGAAACCGACTGACATTTGAGATGGCTAAACTTCATTGATAACAGCTTTTCGAATCGTAGATGCGCACTGCTGAGGAGTCCCACAGTAGGACGAAACGGCCGTCCGATGCTTCCAGGTTTTAAATGGTGATCTAACAATAATCGACTCATGATCCCAATCAAAAACTTAATAATCTCCACAACCCTATACTAATAATTACCATGTGCTCATTAGTGACTAGATTCGTGGGGGAATTCTCGGATTTCTAGTGGGAATCCGTGATCAGTGGAGCTAATCTACGTCAGGTAGATACCGGTGTCTTCCTCAGTACAATAGAAGATGGTCGCGCAATTTCGTGGATTGATTGAGGTTAGACATTAACATTGTTGGATGCCGGCTCAATTGTCTAGAGTTTAAACGTTTGCGCGCGAGATCGAAGGCTCTGGGTTCGAATCTCGAGATGCAGGATTGTGGATGCACACTGCTGAGAACTCTCACAATAAGACGAAACGGTCATCCACTACTTCCAGGTTTTTAATGATGGTCAGACATCAATCGGTTCATAATCTCAATCCAAAAAGCTAATTATTGGCTAAATTCAGAGATTAATATGAAATGTCAGATGGGTTTTGTGGAGATTGTAGTAAGTTCAATGGTTAAGATTATCAGTCACTTGAAGCTAAACCACCATGGAAAACCTGAAAGCACAGGACGGCCGTTTCGTCCTATTGTGGGACTCCTCAGAAGTCCGCATCCACGACCTCGCGCCCAGCGAGATTCCAGCTTAGGAACTACTGGTTTCGCGAGCGAGCACTTAACCACTAGATCACTGAGCCGGCATCCAACGGCGCTAATGTCTAACTTCAACTAATAAATTGAGCGACACATCTACCACTGTCTTCAGTGGGTCACTATCTCACAACAGACCTGGTTGGACTCCATTGGTCACAGCTTCTCACTAGAACTTCAGGATATACCTCGTGAAGCCAGTCACTAGTGAGCATATGTTGATTAATATGAAATGTTTTCATTTTATTACCTGAATGAGATAATTAATAAGTACGATGGTCAGGGTTAAAAGAAATTATTTAGTTAGCTTGCTTTAGAGATTATTTTTGTAAGTTATAACAGAGAAAACAGGTATTTATTCCCTTCTCTTATTTATAATGTTAGAAAGGTTATATTAATTATTTATCTATATTAAGTTAAAGAAAACAAAGGAATAATTTTTAACACAAATTGTTAGATAACTATACAGATTATTAGTTTATTGTAATAATATATCTTTTACAACCCTCTGATACCATGTCCCAACAGGATTTAACCGGAAGTGTAGATAATTCTTCAAGTATAATTTAGTCGTATTTCATCATGAACTTTTGAATGAAAATCCACAAAACTCAAATATTTATTTACATTTCATACACAAATAGTTTCATTTATAGTTCGGTCAATATAATCATAAAATGATAACAATTTTAATTAATCCCATGTTGGAAACACTACTATACAATCTAGTTTCTTATGGTTCTTCTATGAATGCATATATTTATTAAATCACCATAAACACAACTATACAGCTTCGGTAAATAATATCGTGGAATAAAGTTTTCTGAGCAGAATTGCCTTTATTCTTTATTAAACGAAACAATAGATATTTTTCATTAATTAATTCTATCGTGACTGATCTACTATCAGTAAAAGTAGGATATTCACATTGATTATCTATACATTGTTTTAGATATAGCAACCTCTTAACTGATATTCATCAGATAGACATAGTTATACCAAGCTCATGAGTTATTATTTGGTGATTTATATATACGAATATCTATACAAAACTTAACATTCTTTGTAGATAGTTGCATTTCGCCTAATGAAAGAGTCTATGTTCGTGTATCTTTTTTCACTGGACATTGAGGTTTCTTGGACTGATGAAGACAGTGAAATTTGATCTTCGCAAGAAGATAAGTACCAAAAAACAAGGTAAAATGACGTTATTAGATAACATTCAGTAGTCAGTCAGTGTTTTCTTTAGAAATATTTATCATAGGAACTAAGAATATGAAGATTTATCTATGTCATTAAAACAGTCCAATTAATAAAGTACAATATCACCAAAGCAAAATCGAAACTGGACTTAATCATAAAATGATGGTTGTAGATAGTCAACAGGAAACCCTGGACCCGGATTTCGTTCTATTTCGCACATGTCAACAAGGTGTACCTGTAATCATAAAGATTTGACACATATGACATTGATCACCACCCAGTAATCAATCAATTGTGGATTTAATCATATAGTACATAGAAAAAACTGTTTCAAATCTTTTATGTATGTTATTTCCAAGTAGGAATATATAATGAAGAATTTATACGGTGATTCAGTGCATTATTTGAATTCATTCAATCTTTATATAATTTCATAATTCTTATATTTCCACAAATTATATTTAACTAAACAAAATAGATTGTTTGATTGGAATTCTGATAAATCTTGGTATTTTTGCCGGATGATTAGACAAAAGTAGATATAATCAATTGATAGAACTTTTAGAGTTATTTCACTCTATACTATTGTAGGATCATTATTCAAAAATACAACAATACTAAAATGAAATCCTTAAAAATAAAACATACCGTAGAACCATAGGATTAAAGGTGAAACTTTAAGAAAATGTATACATTTATGCTGGTAAGGTTGTTAATTCTATCTTATTTAGAATGTTAATACAATTGACACTGTAGTGTCGGTTATTATGTTAAGCCCATATACCTTATTTTAGCTTTCAGACAGGTCAATCTAATTATTCTACTTAAGTCATATTTTGACCTTGTTAATTATTCGCTTATCAATCTTGACTGTTTTTATATGACCGCATATGTGAGTGCCCTTCTTATCCCATTCATCACATGTCTGTAACCTATTTTTGTGTAACTATAAATATTGATTAACGCTTGATTAAATGGAGTTGGCTTATGTGCCTTCTCCACTCTGCGTCGTTTCGCTTCTCTCTCTTCCATTCGCTTCATATACGGAATATATGTATTCGAAAGTCCATTCTCGTTATTTGACTTATTTAGTCCTGTTATTGACTAACGCGAATTATGTCGATGATTATATACGAGGATAGGCTATAACAAACAATCATACTATGTAATTGGAATCAGATCCCGGGCCACTAAAACACCAATCTACAATACAAATAACTTACAAAAACGAACATATTTCACTTTGTGACTTTAAAACACAATCATTTCATATAGTTAACTCATAAATCTTTTATTGTATCAACCTTAAAGACAAACACAGATCATTTTTATTTAAATAAGGATAAATAAACAGATAATTCGATATACTATAATTAAGATATTACAGCAAATGGAAATATATAACCTTTCATTATCTCTTGTATTCTTTTCTCTCCATTTTCTTTGCCATTCGGATTGTTTGTGTGAAGAAATAAAGAAGTCATATTCTGATAAGATAGTTTTGATTTGTGAGTAAACAGATTCATACAAAAGCACACACACACACATACACAAACGAATATACACGTTGAAAACGTTTTAATAATCAAGTAAATAAATTAAGTTGTACTTATTAAGTCAATATTTTCCTTGATTATCATATTTTGTATTTCCTATCTTTATTCAGTAAAAATAATGATAAAAATAAATAAAACACTATTATTTACTCATTATTTCTTCGTTGTTTTTCTCTTTTTATTTCTTTTTTTCATGTATCTATGTCAATCTATTTACAAATCGGATATAAAAACAAAATCTCAATGAATTGATAACAAAATTAAGATTGAAAATTATCTGGAATTCAATTACAATCTTATTTATCAAAATTATAATAATAAAATTTCTCATATTAATTATGATTACCATGATGTTTTTCAAATAATCTACCACTTATATAGTCAAAATAAATCATTCAATTTTAGTTACATAATTTCAATGAATTATCAAGATAAGAATATGTTTGTTAATAATGCTGATTTGTTAGATATTAAGTCAGTAATCGGTTCCAATGAACACAGTAAGTACATTTATATATATGTATATATTTACTCATAAAGCTTGTGACTTAAAGCAATATCGAGTCAATCCACAAAGGATTCACAGATATCAACAACAGACTTATCAATTACAGTACTAAACAACATTGGTAGGATACAAGAAAACAACATCAAGTGAATTGAAAACTTTACGCAATTGCACAAACGAGTGTCTTTCAGGACTCTGTAGTTAAGTTGATAACACGATGGTGTTTGAAGCGAATGGTATTGGGTTCGAGTCCCAGAGTGATCATCAATTCTGTGATTCAGGCGTATCCATCTGACATGTCCCAAATAAGACGAAATGTACGTCCTGATTTCCGTTACTAGCCACTATCCATCCTTGCTTATAAAGCTTGTGTCTTGAAGTAATATCGAGTCAATCCACACAGGATTCATATACGCCAACAAGAGACTGATCAAATCAAGTTCTAAATAACATGGGGAAGATACAAGCAAACATCATCAAGTGAATATATATATATATATATATTCGAATTTTGTTACCATACTACATTAATTACCCATAAACTGAATACTTCTGCTGTACTGTCTATTGAAAATAAACAAGGATCCCAGGCACAAATCTAACTCACATATATGACACAGAATCATAATGTAAAATTAATTCTCAACTACTTAATAATGTACAGGAAAAAAAGAATGTAATGTGTATCTGTTTTTCTTTTTAGAGAGCCGATAATATATCATAAAGAAAACTGTTTATGTATAATAGTACTAGAAGAAATATAATATAAAATGGAAACCCAGTAAAATGAAAACAAACATTGAATATCTATTTTGTTTATAACTTATCCATTATAATTATTCAATTACTAATTCTATCATGTCACCTATCTAATCACTATTAATCAATCATTTTATATATAAATTAGGTTACAATTGCCAAATGTCAATATTATTTTATTATCCATAAGATCATTCATTATGGAACAACATAATTGTTTCCTAAACTTACAAATTCTAATTATAAAAATTAATTATGATAAAATAAATCAGTGATAATACACCATGAGAAATTAATTTCATTATTGGTTATATTTCTTAATGATAGTGATAATTTATAATTAAAGATGTCATAATCAATAAATGAATGATTGTTTTTTCTTGAGATTACATTGAATTATGCAAAGAAAAATTCAACTTGACTAGATTTCTTCCTGTTGTTGTGTCAGTTACTATGTTAAGCCTATATAATTTATTCTAGATTCCAGGCAGGCTGATCTATTCATCCTTCTTGAGTCATGTTTTGACTCACATATATGGGAGTATGTGTGTGTGTGCACTTTTAATCTTACTCATCACATGTCTATAGCTTATTTTTTTGTGACTATAAATAATGATGAACGCTAGGTTAAATCGAGTTGGCTTACATGCCTTCTTTACTGCGTATCATCTTGCTTCGCTATTTTCGCTTCGTTTCTTCAATCATTTGTCTGGATCAACGATTATATGAATATACGTGTATTCGTAATTCATTCTCGTATTTGACTTATTTGATTCTGTTATTCACGAATGTCATTTAAGCCGATAATTTTATACGAAAATTGACGATATGTATATTTTAACAACATTCACTCATACGTTTAAATTCATTTGGTGTTGTTTGCTTGTATCTTCCCCATGTTATTTAGAACTTGATTTGATCAGTCTCTTGTTGGCGTATATGAATCCTGTGTGGATTGACTCGATATTACTTCAAGACACAAGCTTTATAAGCAAGGATGGATAGTGGCTAGTAACGGAAATCAGGACGTACATTTCGTCTTATTTGGGACATGTCAGATGGATACGCCTGAATCACAGAATTGATGATCACTCTGGGACTCGAACCCAATACCATTCGCTTCAAACACCATCGTGTTATCAACTTAACTACAGAGTCCTGAAAGACACTCGTTTGTGCAATTGCGTAAAGTTTTCAATTCACTTGATGTTGTTTTCTTGTATCCTACCAATGTTGTTTAGTACTGTAATTGATATACGTGAATCCTGTGATGATAGCCTCGATATTGCCCTAAGTCAAAAGCTTTTTTAATTAAAGTAAGATATAAGGCCACAAAACTCGATTGAAAATCAATTTAATTCATCATTTGTAATTTTCTAATTCTGTTAGTTTTTCTTCTTCTTTTTTCCTCTTTTTTTCTTCTTCTTTCTCCTTTTTTTCAGTACATTAATTATTCATTTTATATTAAAATTCATAATGAAGTTTTTTTAACTTAAAAATTAGAAAAATTGTCAAGTAATCTATTATTGTCCTATTCACAATAATAAGACAATTTGCTTAATATAAACTCAAATTAATTATTGATAGTATGACCTGAATAAAAATTTAAAAAAACTTTAGTAGTTCATGAATCAATTAAAGGTAGACTACTATGAAAAACCTGAAAACACTGAACAACCATTTTCTATGGTGATTGACTCATGAATTTAACTATTATATCGCTAAAATTTACATAAAACCCCTTTCTGATAAGAAAAAAGTAAGATTAACTGAATTATGATATGTTTTTTTCTTTTTCTGTGTAATGCTCATTTTATAACAAGATTAAAAATCCTTTCAAAAAGAAAAAAAGACAGAAAACAATAAGAGTTCCCATCATAATGAAGTTTTTTCCCTGAGCTGGATGGTTCGGTCATGGAACTTTCATCGTCCTTCTGAACAGCATCATTAGTACAAAATTCAGATAGAATTGAAGCGTTCGAATTTCTCCATATGTGGTTCACAGCTTGTCCTGTAGACCTCGATGTTGATTGGTTCTTGTTGACCTTAAACTTGTCATTGTTTACTTCTTTTTTTGGTTATATCTCCCATTAGTTTGATTTTTGTTCCTATGTTTATGAATAATTTTCCAACCACTCCATCAAATCCCCCACACAATTCTCGGATCAAATCAAGAACATTTAAATCAACAACGATGAGCTGATGATATCCTTCGTTGTAACAGCGTTATTAACCTCAATTGAACCAAGGTTAGCAATGGAAATTATATTCCTTCTTCTCACCAACGACACAAATCTCACAAAGTACACGAAGCTTCAAATTCAAAGTCTACTAGAACTAATCGATTTATGCCTAACAACATATGGTCAATTCAACAAAAAAATCTACGAACAAACGAAAGGGACACCGATGGGATCACCTTTATCAGGACTGACCGCAGAAGCAGTGATGCAGAGACCTGAGATTACAGTGAACTGAAAAAGAAAAATCTTGCTATAAATGGTAACCTTAAAACTAGTCATATGTAGTAAAACCGGAGTCTATTTCATCGAATATATTGTGGAACACTAAGAGCTACACTGTGATGTATGAAAAATTTTATTATTTGTAATTGCAGACGTATTTCTGTTACAATAATGAAGTTTATGTATTAAACTCATAAGTTTACTGATGTTTAACTGTATTTAAATATAGAAACATGCCTGTACGCCATGTTTAATTTTAGAAACCCTTTGAAATATCATGACATGTTATAAATCGTAATTTTGGGTTTAAACTTTCGAAGAATAACCAATCCATATTTTAGCCACTATTTATGACAAATATTTTATATGTAGACTGAGGAAACAAATTGATTGTAAAAGCTTTTAATTTATAGTCTTTACCATTTGACAAGAACAGTCATTGTTTGAATCCATTCAATAAAACGTTTACACTAATCTTAATAAGACTAAATAGAGTTTGTATCAACATAAACTGAAACATGTGAATCTATGGTGTGTACTAGATAATTAAATATATTTGATTCACAGATACAATATTTCAAATCAAATTAACCAAGAATTATGGCGCCATGTTACAAGTAATCAGTCATCATCAGTCAATCAATCAAAGTAATTTGAATGGTCGTTTAATAGTACACTTAGATCATTCAAACATTCTTCATTTATTTTCGTACTGGAGACCAGAAATAAGTGAAGATTTATCAGTAAGTATGTGTAAAATTCTTTTTGATTTATGCAAATGTCTAGTTCATAGGATGAAGATAATGAATGATGAATGCGATTATCATCATTTTAGTTCATTTAAATTTAATTGATGAGTAACAAACCAAACTAAACACACCAGCAGTTTGTTGTGTCTTTAATTCTGGCTAGTTATCACGCAATTCATTCGCTAATCAAAATACGTTCTTGTAGTGTACTAAACCAATGACGTTCGTTCGGTCTGATCAGCCTAGCGTCCTATTGGTCCATTGCTCACCTAGCCCGTTCAGATGAGTCCAGAGTGCTAATAACAGCCTTCACTAGATGAATCATTTATTCTAAACATAATGTTTATATATCAACCAAACGGCCCGCAACGCACCGTAAAATAGAAAATAACATTTATACACAATCAAGCCAAAATGTGGCTGTGAACGTGTAACTTAAGAACAGTAAATCGTACAATAATAATCTATAGGTCAAAGTGAAGCTTATAATAAGGGAATATACGTATACATAATCTTATTACTGATTAGCTATGCCGTAATAATATATAGATAATATTTGTCCATTAATAGGTCTCAGAAGTTACTCGTAATTTAATCTTTGCTAGGACATAACAAAATTACGTTACTTAACATCTTTACAAACTCCGACACTACTATTATTATACAGGAGCGACAAAAAGTTGACATGGGATTAACAAATAGCATATTTTCGAAAACAACTGTCGATAGACCTATATAGTAACAAAAATTAACGTTTAACATAGAATATATGTACATATAACCAATTAATTAATTAATACATATTTTTAGCATCTTAACAAGAATGAAATTGTCTTATATGAATAATTAAAACAATTGGTTTTCAGTAATCTAATTCAAAACTTCTTTACTTCACACTTCCTTCATCTGATACATTATAATATTTAATAATTGAATTTAAGTATATATATATCATTAATTCCATAGTCTTCGTAAAATGAAACTCATTTTCAAGTCTACTATATTCTAATTTTAATTAAATTGTTAAATAGCATGTTTAGAATCCAACATAAATTAAGGATTATGTAACATGATATTATGAACAATAAGTTATGTTGTAGTGAACAAGAACACCGATGGGGACAATCGAATGTATTTAACACAAAATTACAGGATTTGTTAATAATATCCAACAATCAAATAGTAAACACGTAATTTGCAAAATGTTCATCAGTTGCCTCTTAATGACTCAGACTTCATTGTTCTTGCATTTTCATACAAATTGCATTCTGTTGCCATTCTTTACTGTTCGATCCTTTTGTCTCTCTGCTGCCAGACCTTCTGTTCACTAGTAACGTTATATACTACTTATGTCAATATAAGTAGCACACACCACAACTAATGAATGCATATATGAAATTTTATAAACATTTTCATCTATGCTATCATTGTTTATGATTGGTAAGTTTTATAATTGGTTTAATAGGATAACTTTTCTTCAAAAAATCAATATGAACATAACTATCTGTTTCTATATTTAAAGAGGAAAAAAATGTTATCTAATCACTCTTTCCTCCTTTTTTTCTTTCAATATTTTTCTTATATCAAGTTATCTATGAATGGATTACCTAAACAAATCAATTCTATAATTCAATTTAGTTTTTCTGAAATATATCAGTATGGACAACAATTAATTATTATGTTTACAAATAATTTAATGAATTCTATAGATCAAATACAATTTAATCAATTTATTAATATAATTTATTCTGATTTAGAATATACTACTTATTTACTTATATATTGGATAAATAATGAATCTATTTTTATTGAATCAATCAATATTCCAATAATTAAAAATATATTATCAATGAATTTAAATATAACAAAATTAAATTTTTTGGAAAACTGGCATGGATACAATAAAATGTTCAATAATTTAATTCAATCTAAATTCAATTCAATAAAATATTTTGATAACATTTATAGACATTTAGTGGTAAGTTAATATAATATAGTACAATGTTAATATCTTTCATTTAATGTGTGTTTTTTGTTGGTGTTGGTGTTGTTGTTGTTGTTGCTTGAGATCATGAATTGATTCATGTGAAATAATCATCATTGGGATTATAAATCAAAAATTAATTGATCTCCATAATTCCATAGTGATAATTTAATTTCGTATTATGCAATGAGAAGATTAATTTTATCAGCATTATGTATTATATTTGCGCAATACATTTCGAACAATCTAACCACATGTAATATACTTGTTAAGACATTCTTATATGAAAATTAAAAAGTCAACTAGATAGAATAAAGGTTAGCTGTAAGAAAGAAGGAAAATAAAGTACACAAAAACAATGTGATAACCGCTCTAGATAATAAATCAGTATTACCAGGGTAGATTAAGGTTAAGGACAAATTGTTTTTGAACACATAAAGGAGGTTTCACTTTTCGTATAGCCAAGGCTTCAATAAACCTTAGTATATGTCCTTGAAGGCTTTTGTACAACACTACAAATGCTGACTTGATAGGTCCTGGCTTCGAATCTCGCGGGGGGCAGGATCTTGGAATACCACAATAGGACGAAACGGCCGTCCAGGGCTTCCAGGTTTTCCATAGTTGTCTACCTTCAACTGACTCATGATTTCAACTATTGAAATTACTAAAATCTCCACAAATCCCATTCTGGTAAATCTTATGATCAGTCTTAATCAAATGTTTCGCAATAAAGGAAAATACCAGTCTACCCTGTGATCTTATTTGACCATTTGAATTCATTTGTTTATGTTTAATTGAATTGTTCGGTTACTATATAGCGTTTTTTTATAATGGTTAATATGTATTTCAGACTGTCATTTGTGACAAAAATGATTAACACTTATCTTCGGGTAATCCTAATATAAAATAATTTAATTTCAATCATAAGAACTAACTAAATAGAATTAATTTGTAGATGAACTAAATTTCTTGTCAGATATTGTGATTGATAGTAAGTGATTATGAGAAATGTATGTTGAATAAAACAAGACGTGGTCAAAACACAAAATGAACATGCTATGATTTTGTCTAAGTTGGTAACAATAGGTTCACAGACTGAGCTTATATATATAAATTGCTCAGTCCCAAATTATCAATCAGAACAAACGAAAGAACATCCAAGTGCTTTGTATTATTCTGTCTCATTCAAGCATGAAAAATTATACGGTTACACATATAAAATACAAGACCGTGATGCAACATAGCTAATTAGTCTCAACTTCTACATCACTAAGAAATATGTGGTACAAATCAAAGCAACAAGTATATTATCAATGAACTATAATTTATGAACCTGAAAAGGGCATGGATACCGTCTAATACCGTCAAATAAACGTCTGCTATCAGAACAAGATAAAACATACCATAAACCAATCATTTAATCAATAAACATAAGAAGTATGTATATTGATTATTCAGAGGATGTTCATGTTTTTAGATATTTAATCAATCTTGACAAAGTGACATTTAAATCCTCAGAGTTGTTCATCGTTACATTTTGAATAATACGTGAAATAAGTTTCCAAAAGTATTAGATTGATTGTTACGAAAAGACTAGACAATGTATCAATTACTTAACTATACCAATAATATCTAACAGAAATAACCGGGATTAAGAGTAATTTAGACAACAATTATTTGTGAATCGAAAACGATTGGGAATTAGTCAATATTTTGACTGAGCTAATACATTATAATTTTGTATTGATCAGTTGAAAGGGTGCTTTGAAGTTAATGTTTATGGTTTTGACCATCCCAGTGATGCATTATCACAGTCAATAAAGCAATTGTGTTGCTTGTAAGAGTATTTCATTAGCTACCATGAAGTTATAAATTCTATATTTACCTACTATGTTATTCCAGATAGTCGTACATGGATACAATACAGCGAATTGTAAGTAATATTAACAGTATATTCTTATAAAACGTGGTGCTCATGACTATTTTGGCATACCTTTAACTGGCTCAGAATGAAGGTTTAAAGTTCATTTTTGATCAACTTTAACAATCAAATGTGTATTTCACTGATCCTTGGTACATTTTTAACGAAAATATAAAATTACAATGCAAGAATACTCAAACGTTATTCAACTACAAGCAAGACTTAGTTTTATTTGAAAAAGAAAATATGCATTCCACATGAATATGATTGTTTTTCGCACGAAAAACAAATGTATTGCGTTCAACATTTTATCAATCTTAACGTTAGCATCTATTTCTGTTGGCATATAATCAGTTAGTTCTTATCAAACACTATAGAAATAAAAGTGTCTCGACACTAACGATTTCCCTATTCTATCTAATTAAAGACATTAGTCGTTTCTTAAACAAAGATTCAATGTTTTAAATGCTTTCATAGTTTAAATCATGAACCGTTCTTAACTCGACTACCACTGAAGACCTGGAAGCACTGAACGGCCGTTTTGTTCTAGTGTAAGACTCATCAGCAGTGTGTAGCCATTACCTCACGTCCGTGAATTGAACCTAGGACCTTCGCTTTGGTGTGAAAACGATTAACCTCTTGATCACTAATCTGTAACCAAATATTAAATTAATGCGCAATCCTGATCTATTGCCTTCATACATTTATTTGAAAAACACAAAATTTCATAAATATGACAGTTCAAACTATTGCTGTTAAGTATAATCTAGATTAGCTCACTCTTCTTCATTTATTCGTTATTAAATAATCGAATAGAATAATATTTTAACTTATAACTTTTAGTTTAAAATTCTTGTTTAAATTATGCTAATAAATCATGAAATATACTTTGTTAAAACAAAAATAATTTAGTTATAGTTTAGTTTTTATTTTGATAATCAAATAGAAATAGAAATCTTGTTTCATTTCAACTGGTACATGAATGAAATGAAGTTATGTTTACTTTTTATATGTGACAAGCGATAGAAAATCAAAATAAGAAACAAGTGAAACGCGTTTATTTTTTATGTTATACAAATATATTTCGTTTTTATATTTTCTTTAGTGAAGTTTTGTGCAGATAGTAGAAGATTTGAACAAATCATTTCGTATGACAACATATATAATAGAAGAAAGGATCCAAATTATTAACAGATAATTAGTTAATTTTAATAGTTGAGACCATGAGTCAGTTGAAAGTAGACCACTATAGAAAGCCTCGAAGCACTGAATGGCCATTTCTTCCTATCGTGGGACTCCTCAACAGTGCGCATCCACTATCCCGCCTCGCGAGATTAGGACTCAGGACACATCAGCCTTGCACGAGAGCTCTTAACCACTAGACCACTGAACCGGCATCCAATGGCGCTAATATCTAACTTCAACTAATACACGAAATTGAGCGACACATCCACCATTGTCACCAGTGAGATACTATCTCACAACAGACCCTGTTTAACTCAACTGGTTACAGTTTCTCACTAGAACTCCAGGATATACATCTTGAAACCAGTCACTAATGAGCATATGTTGATAATATGAGAAGGGGTTTTTTGGAGATTGTAGTAATTTTAGAAGTTGAGCTTATGAGCCAATTGAGGATAGACCACTATGAAAAACCTAGAAGCACTGGATGACCGTTTCGTCCTATTGTGGGACTCCTCACCAGTGGGCATCCACGATCCAGTCTCGCGAGATTTCTTCATGGTGCTCTAGCTTCAATTCACTCATGATTTCAACTATTAAAGTTATTATATTATCCACAAAACCCCTTCTGATACTAATTAGTTAATTAATAAGATTATGTTTCAATGAACGACATAAACCACTTTACGATGTGATGGGCTAATTCTTTAACCGAGGAAAAGAATTTTCTTAACATTGCATAAAGGTTTCATTGTTTTCTGGATAGTAAGCCAGAGCAAGCTTCAGATAGAAATTAACTATTAAAATTTCACCACATGTAACTAACCTGGTTATTCTGTCTCATACACATGTACAAATGCAGATGAAGACAACTAGTGTAGCAGAAGCCTCTACGTCAGTAGGTCTCAACATACCCATGGAAAAACGAGATCCTCAAGTACAACATAAAAATCACTAACACAATCACACTTAGTTGAGTATCTCTGGAAGATGTGGAATCTTCCACGTACCAGATAAGCACCATCGATGAACGTAGAAGATTTGAATCAGACGTAAAGGCGAGGACTGCTAAAGTAAAGACCACATTCCTACAATTAGAGAATATATGAAACTCAAAACAACTGTCTGCAAACCAACAACAGTGTCAGAATCTTTAATACGAACATAAAAGCAGTTCTACTGTATGGAGCTGTAACATGAAGAACTACCACAACCATCATCAAGAAGGTACAAGTATTTATAAATAGTTGTCTACCCAAGGTACCCCGTTGACCGAATATCACCAGTAACAGCCTACTGTTAGAGATAACAATTCATATTACAGCTGAAGAGGAAAAGATGCTGCAAATGAATAGGACATATGTTACGGAAATCATCAAACTGAATCACGAGGCAAACGATTATAAGGAAAAGAGGGAGGCCAAAGAACACACTACGTCGGGAGTCGGTAGCAAACGTGTAAAGGATGTAAAGCAACTAGAAAGAACTAGAAAGGATTTCCTAAGACAGAGTTCGATGTAGAATGTTAGTGGGTAGTCTATGCTACCCCACAAGGGTAACAGGAGTAAGTAAGTAGGTAAGTAAGAACATGTAACTGACAGCTTGTTTTGCCAACAGTGACTGGATGCTATCAACATCTGCCCCGTAACTAATCATATATTTGTTTTGACGGTCTTCCAACTTGGCTTGATTTTTGGTTTTATAGTTGTATATGATAATTTCTAATTAGTAACTGAATTGGATCAATTTCTATACGTTTATTGACTGCGTTTAGTCTGAATGCCAAACTTCTAAGATTTCCCTAGTTTTATTTGTATTCCTTTTTTCAACTATTACATTTCCCAGTGAAATATCGAAATGTTTTACGATCAATGCAGAGAAATAGATAGTTTAGTGTCGAAGGGAACGTAAGATATTAGTGATTTCAATTGATTAAAAATTCTGAATCTGTTGAAAATCTCCTTAACATGAAAACAACCGACTACAGTACATTTTGGACATTTTAGAGTTCTACACATATCCAGTAGACATATCCTATTATTCATAATTTCACGAATATTGTACAAACAATATCAATAAAATATAAATTGAAGGATTTGAACATTGATTAAAATCAATATTGAATAAGTAAACTGATTAGACAACTTTGTTATCGTTTTTTAATCACCAGAAAAATCTTAGTAATACTGACAAGATGTTTCGGTTCATCAACTGGCTGCCTTGAGAATTTTTTTAAAGATATAAACGAGTACTCAAACTTTAGACAGAAAGAAAGAAAGAAGGAGAAATAGAAGATATGATGACCTTTTTTCTCCACTCAATTCAGAAAACTATAGTAGTCTTTAATATAGTGAGTAATGTAATAAAGAACGGAAAAATACCCATGGGAAATACGTTGACTGAATTACTCATTTGCCAGCAAAGCTAATAAGATGATAACACTTTTAAATATTGTTAGGTTTGAATTCACAGGACATTTGTCTTACTTATTATACCTTGTGTCAACTTGACTGTGAAACATTTTCGAAGTGTAAAAATACTTAGAAATACCAGCTAGATTTTCAAGAATCCTAGAGTGACTGGAGATATTGGTCACAGATGATATTTTGTGAAAGATTGCATGAATAATCAGATCGAATTAGGTAAATACATCGACATCAGACGGGAACATACAATTCCCTGTGATAAGGGTGTGCGCAAAACAGCTATCAGAAAGATGTTAGACTATTTTCTTGGAATAGCACCCAAAAAGAATGTTCCCATTTAGACAAATTAAACTTTCCGGGGGGATGGAGATAGAAGACACAAAAGCCTGTATTTGAGTTTTATGACTGTTGACAGCCGTCAGCAAGGCATATTCGTAACTAAAGGACCAGACAAACACAACGCTAACCATCATCCAGTGATCAGCCCATTGTAAATATCTTAGTCCTGCGAGATGTTAGTAACAGACCAAACAGTCCAATGGTAGTCTCAAACAATAAAGCTGGGTGATGTTGGTTTGAATTCACCAAAGAATATTAACCCCTCGAAGATTACAGACTTACCTTTGTGATGAGTACCAATTATCAAGGAACTTAGGTTCAAGGTATTTCCCCAACTTATTTTGGCTAGGCATTTTTTTTCATTACCACTTCCTTACTCACCTTTAATAAAATCATAAATGATATTTTTTTCTTAAATGAAATACACTAATTTATATAATTTCAGATATATATAGAATCAAATATACAACATAATTCTTTCCAAAAGTTAATAGACAATATTAATCCATTTCTTAATTATTTGGTGAATAAAACGATCGAGAAATCAGAAGATTTTTCCAAAGATTCAATTAAAGGTTTAAGTAAGTGTGAATATGATGTAACAATATAAAATACTATTGATAATATCTTCATGACTTTTTACTAATATAATTGAGTGTAACATATAAAAGGATTCATTCGAATTAAGAAGCAATCTGAAATAATAATAGTAATATAGGTTTTTACGCATTAATTTGTTTAGTTTTCTAATCAAAAGCAATCTACTGAACAGAATCATGTATTTATTAATTTATGATGATGCATTCATACTATTAAAATATCATTAATTTAAAGTAGTGAATAATAATGTTCAATTTGAGCTTATGATTTTCAGACTTAATCTACGTACTGAAGATGAAACTAACTTTATTCTGTTTTTTTTCCAGATTCTAATTGTTTTATAATCACGGTTTGTGACTCAAGTTGTCTAGTTTATTCTTTAGCAATCTTGATTGTAAATTAGTATTAACATTATAACTTAAGCTATGACCTAAGCAAAAAACGTATTTACGCATAAAGTTATGTAAATAATGATCTGAAAATACTTCTTTTTCAATAGTTATTCTGTGTTAGATAACCGGTGCAAAACACTTGAACCTAAAATTACGCATTCATAATGCCAAATTAAACCGTTATTTGGTAAAACATGAATACCATACATTCAATAATTTAATTGTATAATGTCTATCGATCATCTCAGACTTTGTTGTTTCTTCGTTTCCATACCAATCAGTATCTGTTCCAGTTCTCTTCTGTTCGGTCTTATCTACTTACTGCTGCCAGGCATTTCACTTTCGACTGATGGTAGATATGTTACTTATATCTGTCGACATAAGTACTACACACCACAGTATTACTTTAAAATGAAAAATAATGGTGTTAAACAAGATTGGGAAAAAAAGATGAGAGCATTTTATTCACTTGTTTTATTTCATTATTATTTTTTGATAATTTTTAAATTAGGTAAATCATGATTTCAAAAATGGCATCATTTTATGCCATTCAAATTTATTTTGTTTTTCTTTTCTGTTTAAAACAAGAAATAAGTTTCAATGCCTTTGATGCTTTTTGGTATTCTATGGTCGAAGTCTACAATATATGGATAAAAATGCCATCAAAGTTCAGTGAAAATATATACAATCTCCTTGTTAATGATGCCAGAAATTCTACGAAACTAGAAAATATTACAGTTTATTTAAAACAGGTGAATGAACGCTTAAAAATCTCTGTGAGTATTTTAAATTGGCTAGTATTTCGATATAATTTGAATGTGTATCCCTTAATAATGTGTAATCCCTTATTAAACAATATAAACATAATATAAAGGTATGGATTTAAATAAACGATACCCTTCGTTCTCTATGTGTGAAAATCAGTGTTAATACAACGCTGAAACAGAAGAAACAAAGCTGTATTTAGAACGTCAAATGTACTGATTGCATTATTGTTCTGATCAGTACGTATCGTCAGAATATGATATTAATTTTCAGTAGATGAATATAACACAGTTTTAAAGTTGATCGTGTTTTAATTCAAATATGTGACAATTTTTCCCAATACAATACTGAATAAAGTGAGAACATAATAGATATTAATGAATATTTTATCCTTAAATCCTCGATATTATTTTAATGAAACCTTCTATAAATTAGAACTACAAGCCTACTTTGCCGACGCGTACGATTTTTGTATCAAAGCCATGTTCTCTGTAATTCATTTGTTTCACAGTATATATTTCGAAGTCACTGACAAAGGATATATAACTTCCGACATGAGAAGAATTGCAGTTTGCTACTGAAGTAACTTTTCCTACGTATATCTGATTATTTTCACTTGGGTATTCCCGATAAATGCAAGCACATTTGCATCAATGTCACATTATCCAGCAATTCTCCAGTTTTTACTGATGAGGAAACCATATAATAAACTACTCTGGAAATAATGACCTTCAACCTCAAATTAACAGTCCTGTTGTCTGTATTTTCCTTACCGTCCTAATTGTTCTCTTCAACCAATTAGTCTTGTTTGGCTTTTCTTTTGTCATATAAATATCTTGACAAGTTGGTATGTGATCAGGTTGATTGAAATGTAATAGGCTAATATATCACTTAGTCCCGATGAATCAATTTTTTTCATTTCATTGTCAAACTGGATCACAGCAATCCACTCGTGGTGTAGGTACTGGCCTAATTAACTCAATATTTCAGTGCCGAGTCTTTGATACTTGGTGGTAATATTTCTGAGACATGCAATAATATGAGACCCTATCATATGGAGACCATTAATTTCAAAATGATTGCAGATAACCCTCTCTGAAGCATGCTTTTATGTACTACTTATAATTTTGAGTTATATATATGCACTAAATACTACTCACTTTCTTTCTTCCCTTATTTATAAATTGATTTCATTCAGTATAGTTTATTTGAAAGCATTCGAAACAATCTTAGCACTATAGGGCAATGTGCCAGTGATAGAATCAGTGAACAATGGTGGAATGAAAATTCCAATTATGAACAACTGAATCAGTTCATCCAACTAATTAAACAGAAGGAAATAGAAGAATCTTACACGATACTATTCAAACCACATTTTAGGACTTTCACCAAATCAATGGATAAAAATCAATATTATTTTAAAATATATATTCCACAGTTAATCAAGATATTTACCTACTACGTACCGAAAATTTGGCCTTATTACCTACAGGTATAAAAATAATAATATTGAACACTTTGGATGTTTTCATTTTTCAGTGTACCTTATAATTTAAAAATATACACAACTGATTGAATAGATTGTGGATAACTACGACTTTTTTTATATATTCCGTCATGTTCATACATCATATTATTCTGCTGAGCTATAATGTATATCCAGTTTGTTAGTTACTATGTTCAACGTAGTTATGTAAGTTAAACTTTTCCGCATAGACTTTGTGGGACAATATAAGCATATGAGGTTTATTTGTTGTCAACCTATAATTTTTGGACGACCTTTGAGCAACGCTAAAATGATATTGAAAATATCCACCTACTAACTAAAACTAAATGAGGGGTATAAAGTAGTGTGAGAAATTGTAGTTATGATTTTCAGTTGATGGTTAGGGTTAGGAATCAGATTTAGAGTTTTCATCATGAACTGACATCAGCTATAATGCCAAAATAGTATTTAGTGTGTATGAATTTTCCGCTAAAAGTCATAACTAAGTATTACCTACACCTTAATGAAGCTTTAGGAAGTTAGTCATATTGCCCTACTTGTAGATATCATAAAATAAATTCAGTCATGATGTTCCCTTATTATAATGAGCAATCTCGTTCTTTGTTTTCAAGTGCTTGCTTAATTTTTCCATGACTCCTCATTTAATTCCTAAACATTTTACAACAGTACTACACTATACTTAAAGAAATATACATTTTGTATCATATTGTCAGGTTCCAAAATTATTATCAGTTTTTCCATTAATTCTAGATGAACTGAGATTCCATCGGTCTAGAAAGAATATTTTAAATGAAACTTATTCTACAAGACAGCTATAATTTATTCTGGCTGCCTTATCTCTTAAGTTGTAGCAATCACCTATTGTCTTGAGTAAAATTTTTATGATAGGTTCAGTTGACAGTACATTCTGACAGTGTTTCGAGACATTACTTTTTCAGCTTATGCCATAGAAAATGATGACAACTACAGAATTTAATTATTTGACACTATGTGAAGTAGTCATGTAATCTATAACACTAATCAAATACTATAAACTAGGTCATATTCTATTAAATTCAATTATTCAACACCACTGTGTTAGTTTGACAACAAGCTATAGATACCTAGACTTACTATAACCAAATAAGTCATGGACTCATGTAATGTAGAATATTTGGTGGAGTTTTGTTCTCTGAGCTAGATCATTTGGTCGTGGAGAAATTCGAACACTTCTCTTCCTCCTAACTTTTGTGCTGATGGTATTGTTCAGAAGAACGATCATTCACCTCAGAACACATTAACTCCACCAAAATCATCCACTTGAGCTACAAACTTTCTCCATCTCAGCGTAGTATATTCATTTACTATAGTATTTACTAAACAGAGTAAAAACAGATTGTCACTTCTCATTCATTTCATATGTATGCAAAGATAGTTTTGTTCGACCCAACAATTCCTTCGTTATGTTTTCATTGGTACATCAACTGTAACGAAGACCACTTAGATATTATTCTTGTCACTGTTATTATCGCTGTCATTGTAATGACATCACTACTACTAATATTTCTAAATGGTTCTAATTTTATCTCTTAGTCTAGTTTATGGACAATAATTCATAAATGTTTATTACAATTGACCAAATTATAGATTATCTCGCTTATTCTGTTCTGAAATAAATTCTACTTGTCTATTTGTGAAATATTTTTAACTGTTTCTCAAGAAACTAAGTTTGAACAAATGATTTTCTAAAGAGAGTAAGAACAAAGGTTGGTGCAGAATAATATGAATTCATTTTATTTCGTTAGGTTCTCATCAGCTGCTTACAACCTAAAATATTTGAAATTCAACGTTATTATAGATATTGACATACTTATACAACAGAGGGCGATGAAGGATGAATATATGTAACATAATGTGGTAAAGATTTCGTTAGAGTTAATGAGGTTATAAAATGTTTTGTTTCGAATATATAGAGTTTGGGAGGGAAGGTTCCAGAAAATTGAAATAGTGATTAGAAATCATGGAATTAAAACACATTAGACGATTATGTAATGAAGTAACTGAAAATAGATTAATGTTAATAAAGAGAAATATGAATTGAAATTGGTCAGTTATGAATGATGTAATTATAAAATTCAGAAAGAGTTGAAATGACGTAATAAAAATAAACAAAATAAAAGGGGGTGGGGTGAATGTTACCAGGGCAAAGAAAGATTTATTACTGTTTCTTTTTGTATACAAAGATCTGGTTTTAAACGTTTGATTGCTATTGCTTCCGCGAATTTCAAAAGGTTTGAATTTGATTGTTTGTTGATCACCCTGAAGGACTTCAGTATATCGACTTCGTGTCCTGTATGGTCTACCGAAAATACATAAACAAGATAATCCTCTTAGACTTATTATGTCAATGATCAATTCACTATACCACAAAGTTGCAAGATGGCTGGCAGATAAATTAGAACCACTTCGTCAACGATTAGCCACTTATACACTGAAGGATTCATTTGTATTTGCTGACAGAATGAATCACATAAATATTGCTGGTAAGTTTATGGTTTCGTTTGATGTGACATCATTGTTTACAAAAATACCACTTCTTGAAACCATAGACATAATTTGTCAACATCCTGATATCCTACCTCTACCAGCAATAGAATTCAAACATCTATTACTCTTGTGTACAAACGATGTTCAGTTCCAGTTCAACAATACTATATAATGACAAACCGATGGTGTAGCAATGGGAAGTCCGTTAGGCCCCGTCCTAGCAGACATTTTCATGGCTAACCTCGAAAGAACCAAGCTCAAAGGAGCGATTGATGAAATGATGTATTATTCGAGGTATGTTGATGATACATTCATCTTATGTAATAATCAACAACATGCAACAAATTTGTTAAAGTTTTTCAATGAAGCTCATCCAAATATTCATTTCACTATGGAACATAAAAAAGAAAACATGTTCCATTTCCTCGATATAGCGATAAAACGAAGAAAGGATGGCACAGTTCAACGCTCAGTTTATAAGAAAGACACATGGAATGGTAGTTATCTCAATTTCAACAGCTTGTGTCCAATCAATTATAAAAAAGCCCTTGTTAAAACACTGTTTCATAGGACAGAAAGAATATGCACTGCAGACACAATAGAAGAGGAAATTATGAATGTTAAAAAGTGTTTAAGAAATAACGGATACCCATTGAAATTCATTGAAAAATATGGAAAACGTAAAGATAAAATACCCAAAGAAACTACAGTAAATAAAAAACCTGTTTTTATTCAACTTCAATTCAAAGGCGATAATGTCACAGGATCGATCAATATGAGACTAAAAACTGCACTGACAAAAACATATCCTGCAGCTAAATTGATTGTCCTGTCCAAAACGACATGTTCTTTGACACAATCAAAGGTCGATAGGTATCCCTTTCATGTTACCACCAACTGTGTATACAAATTTACATGTATCTGCCAAAGCAGTTACATTGGTAGAACAGAAAGGAGAGCCTACGTCCGATTCAAAGAACATATTCCGAACAGTTTGAGATCAAACGGACTAAAAGCATTTAGCAGCGCTGTCGCAAGACATCTCATTGACACAGGACACGAAGTCGATATACTGAAGTCCTTCAGGGTGATCAACAAACAATCAAATTCAAACCTTTTGAAATTCGCGGAAGCAATAGCAATCAAACGTTTAAAACCAGATCTTTGTATACAAAAAGAAACAGTAATAAATCTTTCTTTGCCCTGGTAACATTCACCCCACCCCCTTTTATTTTGTTTATTTTTATTACGTCATTTCAACTCTTTCTGAATTTTATAATTACATCATTCATAACTGACCAATTTCAATTCATATTTCTCTTTATTAACATTAATCTATTTTCAGTTACTTCATTACATAATCGTCTAATGTGTTTTAATTCCATGATTTCTAATCACTATTTCAATTTTCTGGAACCTTCCCTCCCAAACTCTATATATTCGAAACAAAACATTTTATAACCTCATTAACTCTAACGAAATCTTTACCACATTATGTTACATATATTCATCCTTCATCGCCCTCTGTTGTATAAGTATGTCAATATCTATAATAACGTTGAATTTCAAATATTTTAGGTTGTAAGCAGCTGATGAGAACCTAACGAAATAAAATGAATTCATATTATTCTGCACCAACCTTTGTTCTTACTCTCTTTAAAATAATAAAGGGAACTATGTGTATGAAATGATTTTCTGTAGTAACTTTTACCCCTGCTTTATATAACTACTATGTAATGATAGTGTGAGGTATGTTTAATACGTCAGTTACATCTTATATTAAACTCTTTATATGGACAGTTGTTTTCTTAAGTGGTAGTCTGAACGTTTGGAAACCAGAAGGCACTAGCTGACGACTGGACAAAATTGCAAACTAACTAAAGTTGAAATTGAGATCAACTGGATATCAACTCAATACAATTGGTCAACAAGCTCTCCTCCAGATCTGAAGGTACTGGACTATTCCATTGTTGAGATGTATACTGATGAAGACATTCACACTAGGACAAAACCTATGACTAATACTTCGTGATTTTGAATGGTCGTCTAGCCAAAATAATAAGATGATGTATTTAGAAAGATAGTAGTAGTATTGATAAAGCGTTTGGTATGTGATCAGCACCATAGAAAGATGGACAGATAGATAGATATACAATTAGCTAGAACTGTTCACCATGTATATTACATTTCATCATTGAATATAGTAACATCATGTTTCTGTCTATAAATCAGTTTACCACCTATTGTGAATTCGTTAAGATTTTTATATTTTTTAAGAAAATTTTTTTTAATTTTCTTTCTGAATATACTCGTTTAACTTTTCATATATTACTTAATTATTTTAATAATTACACAATTAAAACCATTTAAGTAGTATAACAATCTATATAAATGCTTGATGTATGGGGATTCCTTTTATCATTATTTTTTTTCTCTGATAGAAATTTTCCAAAAACGTTAGAATAAAATTTTAATTATCGATATTTTAAGTAGAATAAACTGACAACTTGTACATTATCCTTCATAAAATTGAAGTTGGTTTGAAATGTTGTTCACTATTGCGAAATTCAGTAGTTTGCATATTGCGTTGTTAAAATAAAATTGTTTGTTCTTTCACTTTTGACTGACTAAAGAATAATCATTGAAACAGAATTACAATGTAAAGTACGCGCATTTTAGTTGGATTAAAAAAACAGGTGAGACTTTAATTTATGGACGATCTTTGAGCGATACTAAAGTGACCTTGACAGTGTTCACCTAATAACTAGGACTAAATGAGGGTTATCAACCATCGTGAGGAATTAGAATTATGATTTACAGTTGATGGCTAGGGTTAGAAACTAGATTTAGAGTTTTCATCACAAACTGACATCAGCTATAATGCCAAAATTTTATTTAGTCATATGGATGGGTGAATTACGCGCCAAAATTTGAGACCTGTTATCTTACACTTAATTGGTCCGTCCACAAATTATATTCTCGTCTAGTGTTATTCACTATGAAGTAGTAATTTGATAAAATTTTGTTAATAAGATGATTAGATTTAGTCTGTATCATAGTGTGTAACTGTTACTTTTTTTGCGATTATCCGTTCATTGGTTTATTTATTTTGAAATGCAACTATTGATTCATGTTTTCAAATTGCTTAGACCTCTCTTTTGTTTCTAAACCACACAGAGTTGATCCATTAGAAGATATAGTTTATTTTCAGAATGAATTAAACTTAAGATTGAATTATTCCTATGGACATTTGATTTGATGTGAGCTAGTAGTAGAATCCAAGACGTGCGGTTTGTACTATTTGAGACTCACTAACTGGATATACTTACATCTCAGTGTTGGTGTTCACATTGAGACTCAAACCATGTACCTTTCGCTCCAACATACTATATTACCTAATAAGTTATCAAGTTCAGATAACTATTAGATTGCTCAAAGAATATAGTATTTACATTATTATTGATAATCCTTTAAATTATCCGGTTCTTCATATTCAAGACTAGACATATCTTCATCGTGAATAGAATGACTTTGAAAAAACAAATGAATGGATAATTAATTACTTAACTTCTTGATCTCAATCAATGACATAATAAACTCCACAACCCTATACTGATAATAACCATATGCTCACTGATGACTAGCTTCGTGAGGTAATTCTCAGAGTTTTAGTGAGAAGCTGTGACCAGTGGAGCTAATCCATGTCGGGTGGAGACAGATATTTACCTCAGTACAATGGAAGATGGTCGCGCAACTTCGTGGATTGGTTAAGGTTAAACATTAACACCATTGGATGCTGGATCAATGGTCTAGTAGGTTGGGCTTTCACACGCGAAACAGAAGGCCCTGGGTTTGAATCTTGCGAGCTGGATCGTGGATGCGCACTGCTGAGGTGTCTCACAATAGGAAGAAACAGCCATCCAGTGCTTCTAGGTTTTTAATAGTGGTGTAACATCAATCAGTTCTTGATTTGAATCAATAATATCATTTATAATTCAATGCTGTAACCACTTTTTTAAACTTTGAAACTCATTCTTGTTACTTTTATAAAATTAGCTAACAGCTTCCTTCCATAAGGAACAGTTTATTGACTGTATTGTTTCATTTATCTCTTTACCATAACATATAACTCTATCATATAATCATATATTTATTTAATGTCAAATATAACCGCTCTTTTTTAACCTTATTTTCATACATTTTCTTCTTTCAATATTCATATTAGATCTTAGAAGAACAATCAAAAATGAAATCACAAGTAAATCAACTAACAACAGAATCTAACAATTTTGTATAAACAATATTTCTTTTTCTATTATAAATATCATAATGGCATGTTTTTTCTTCTTCCTTAATCCTGATGATAAATAATAAATTCATACTACTGTTATATACATAATACAAAAAAGAATTGGCAAAATATTTGTGAACTTATGACCATGTCTTTTGTTTTGTTTTAATGTTTTTTTAATTTGATGAATAAAATAAATGATGAAAGACGATTGACGAAAACACATAGAAATCATTAAATTGAATTGAAATTATGAATCAACCTACATTATACAATCATCGAAAATATGAAAGTACTGGACAGTTGTTCCGTTAGTTTCTGAAATTCTAGTGAAAAACTAAGACTAATAAAGTTGAACTGTATCGAGTCTGATGTAACTATCAACTGAAGGTAATGGAAGATGATTGTGTAATGCCATGGATTGATGCCCTGGTACGGCCGAGAGTACGGGGAGTCAGCTCTCACATGGCCACGTAAATACAACCACTGCCAAAGAAGTTCTACTCACTGCCTCTTCGTTGCTGGGGTGTTGTTTACGAAATTGAGAGGATGAAAAATGTTATAACTTGCGAACCTGTGTGCCCTGTATATCGGATAATGCAACGATACCGCCAATTAGAGAGCAGCGAATTATCAATCGAACCAGTGACGTATAAAACACGTACGAGCAGTCTAGAGTCCTTATTGGTCTTCCTTCCCATCTGGCCCAGCCAGTTAAGTCCAGAACACCAATCTCAGCCTCTGAGATATGAATCATTTATTTCAAACATACTCGGTTTATATATCAACCAGACAGACCACAATGTACCATAAACTATGAAACAACATTTGTACAATATTTAGCCAAAAGTGAATGAGAGAGATAGTAATTAATAGACAGGCCATAACTCAAGAATGGTAAATCGTATAATAATAGTTCATAGGTCAAAATAAAACTTATAATAAGAGGGACATGAATATGAACAGTTTAGTTACATAACAATTATACGATAAAAATATACTCATAGTATAGGTCCATAAATGGATCCCAAGAATCACCATTCATTATTCTTATCAAGATATAACAAAAAGCGAATGTTCGGCACTTTAGCTGGATTGACGGACATGGAGAGCCCACCTAGGGGAGTTGGAAACTTCTGATACCAAACCAATGGTGTACATGGGCTCCAGTATCCTGAAGGAACAAATGGCGTATGAACCAATTGTTGGTCACCGGCTATCATAGGACTGCATCTCCTTACGTTGCTGCACTGCCTCGTGGATCAAACCTTTGTATTGAAGGCTCCGAGTGTGACTCCCTAAGTAAACTACCTACTTCGGTCTGGGCACACAGGCAGTATCACAGCACTCATACATATCAAATGAGATCTGTGTGGCGCATATGTATTCGGTGCCTCCTTGTACCAATGTTTATGTGTTTAAATAAATAAATAATAAATATCAACACCATTGGATACCGACACATTGGTCTAGGTGTTAAACGTCAGTGTGCAAAACGTAAGTTCCCTAGTTCGGCTCCCGGATATGTAATTGTCAATATACACACCTGAGAAGTACTGCAATAAACCGAAACGGCTGTCTAGGGCTTCCAGATTTTCACTGGTGGTCTAATTTAGATCTGTCCATGATTGCAATGAAATTCAACGATCTCCACAACCCTAACTGACAACAAATAAATTAGCTTGAAAAGAAGAAAATAAAAAGCATGAAACACTACAATGATACATTTTACTGGTTAACTATTTATGTAAATAGAAATCTTGTATAATTATCATATTAATTTGTTGACAGCATTGTTACCGAATCAGTAACAATAAGTGGCACATAAGACAGTTATAAATGCTATACAGTTGATATTTTGTATATTTAGTCTACCACTGATGAAAATAATCAACAATTGATAATTCAAATATTTGGCTTATTTCTGATTTATACCTATTAATTACATTTTCAATAATGTACGATTGCTTTATTAGAAATGTGGATGAAATTCACTTTTAAAAATGATGTCATAAAATCTTTGAGAATATAGTTAACATAAATTATAAGATAAAAGAAATCGACTAATTAGGAACTTTGATATTTAAGGATGCCTAGAATTTGTTTAAAAGTTCACATTTGGTTGATAATTTGTTTAATCTAAGCCTCTTAACTGGAAATTAATGTTTAAAAGATAATGCGCTAACTAAAAGACTTGAAGGTTCTATGTCCAATCTATGGAGCTAAAATGGTGGTACTCAGCTAAGTACTTTCATATTAAAAAGAAAGCTTTGTCTGCTTCTATACGTTTTTCATTACCAACCTTACTGATGTCATCCAACGACGAAAATTAACTAAGAACACATCCATATTTCATTATGTTGACATTCGTTAAAGGTTAACTGCAATAACAAGATGAATGATCTATTTAAGAAGTGAATTTTCACTTTCACAACTAAAGAAAACTTATAAAGAAATTGAAAGTTATTATTAGAATGGAGGTTTGTGGAGATTGTAGTAATTTTTTAACGGTTGAATTCACAGGTCAATTTAAGCTGGACTATTATTAGAAGCACTGAACGTCCATTACATCCTAGTATGAGACTCCTCAGCAGTTTGTACCCACGATTCTTCACGCGGACGCTTAACCTGTAGACCACTGAGCCAACATCTAACGATGTTAACGTCTAACTTCAATCGATTCATGGTCTTGCGCAACCATTCATCGATTGTCCGAGGTAGATACCTGTCTCTAACCGACGCGGATTGGACTTCGTAAGTCACGGCTTCTCACTAAGACTCCAGGAAATCCGTATTGATGCCAGTCACTAGTGAGTACATTATTTAAAGTTATTTCTTTTCTTTATTTAAAAAACTTTAATCTCATTCATGATATAATGCAACAGTTTTAGTATTTGTATTTATCCAGTAATTAAGTGCTTATCCACTTTTAATCATCAACAATGAACACGAAAGTGTACACACAATACTTTCTCACAAATTCAAACCATTAGTAACTAATAACCATAAAGTACACACTGATATGATTGTAAAACATTTAGAATTTCAACATGAAATTGATGTCAACATTTCATACGAACACTAACAATATCAAACAATATAAATCACAGAAATAACCACAACAATGGTTTGTTGAGCACAGTCACTTCAATAAATTAAATTTCATTCACCATCTAATTTATGTTACTAGACGCTGTTTTGAAATATATAAATGAACTTCTAGAACAAGCATTATAAGTTTTTCGGATAATCAATTTAAAAATGATTTTTATTAGCTGTAAGACTAAAACTCTATCTGATCAGATATATAAATTATTTTGATTCTGATTGATCGAAAGACTATAATAACTGTGCTGATGGATAAGTTCTGCAGTTCAATGAAATGATTTTGTTGAAATTGTATGCCTATTTATGGTATTTTTAATAGTGAAGCTTGTATAAACAATACCATCAATACAAAATCTACATATAAATAATAAATTTTTTTAACATTAAACCTGTTCTGTTGTTATCTACAAATTATCTTTACCCCTAAACCAAATTCTTGGTCTTTCTTGATTTTCCTAAGTGGTTATTAAATCCTACTTAAAATTTATAAGTGAAAATGTAAAATGTGAAAAAAATTTGATTCATAGATCAATTTAATAATATGTGTATTGATTTGATTGTAAAAGTAGTTTATAAATTTTTGTTTTAATTTTTATGGTTACTGAGAGTAAAAATAGTCAAATAAGCATACAAGCATTTACATGTATATGAAAATTTACATGGATAAAAGTTAATAATTAACCAAAATGATTAAAACAAAAGTTAAAAATGACATATTTACTTGTCATGTTTTTCACTGTGAGTTCATTCAGTTGTTTTTTCTTCAATATTTAATAACTTTTGTAGTAGACGGCATTTTCCGACGTTTTTATTTAAGTTCATTTTGTATTGTTTACTTGAATCTTCTTATTGTTGTTTAGGACTGCAATTGATCAGTCTCTTATCGGCATATGCGCATTCTGTACAGATTTCCTCAATATTGTCTTAAGTCACAAACATTCTAAGCAAAGATCAATTGTAGTCCTAAACATCGATGGGAAGATTCAAATAAACAGTACAAAATCAATTGGAACTTCACCCCATTTCACAAGTTAGTGGCTATCAGGACTTGGTAGCTGAGTGGATAAAACGATGGTGTTTAAAGAGAACGGTACTGAGTTCGAGTCCTGCGGTGAATATCAACTCTGTCATGCCGGTACATCCAGCTGACAGGTCTCAAATAGAAAGAAACATAAGTCCTGAATTCCACTACTAGCCATCGTCTATTTCTCAGTTAATTTGATGGGTGAGTGGGGAGTATAAGATTGTATTTTTATTCAAGATTTTATTACAAACATCTGAATTTATCTACATTTGAGTAGGGCACCCAAACACGCCTGATCAAAAGTACAAGTATCGTAACAGTCAGAGCTTTATGTCGAATCTATAATGGAAATTAACTTTTATATTTAATGCTCATCTTCTAAATAAACAGAAATTTATTCATAACTGTTTAATACGACACATATACTGAACATTCAAAGTGGATAAAAAAGCTCGTGAGCTTTCAACCCGTTCAAACACGAATGGATTAGCGTAAATAAATAATAAGACTCTAAATACATAATAAGAGGCTGAAATAAATGGAGTTTTAACAAAATATTAGGGGAGGTATTTTATGAGTTTATAGCTGTTCGGTTGATGAACTGTTATTATGCGAAGCAGCTTAGCAGTGACTATCGATACTATATCCATAAATGAATGTCAAAATGCAACAAATAGTAATAATGCCCACAGTCCATTGAATATTTAAGTTTTGTACATTGTGAAATTCACAGAATAAATTCAGTTAACAAGTGAATATTGTCCACCTATTTTCCCTAAAATATAATTGTTTATGACACATTATATTGAATTTTTGTCTATTAAGAACAGTAAACTTTTGAAATAATAATATTGTCAAACAATAGATCCAAATACGCTTCACATTACATAGATAGATTGATATTTACAAAAATTCATTCAATGTTAGCACTCTAAGAGATCGTCAAACAAATGGTGATATTCCCTTGTTGTGAAAATGATTATCAGCAGCTTGTGTACTTAAGTAGATTCG